TCGCTACTAGGAGCAAGGATGCTGCTAGGGGCTCCTGGCCTTACTACTAGGAACAAGAAGCTTCTTTATTGGATTCAGCACATTCTTGCTGACGTCGTTCACCGGTCGCGGGCATCGACTTCTCTCAGGACACCGGTCGCGTCGGTGGTCGGCATGCGTCGCCGCCAGGCCATTGAATTTTCCTTGAGAAGAAGTGGCGAAACCAAAGAGGAGTGGGGATAGATCGGATCCCTCTTGGTGTGGGGGTGTTCCGGCTAGCATGTTTCAATTCCGTATCATAACCGCGTCAAAATCATTTGTCTTCGTCGCATCTACAAATCCGGGGCCCAAATTTTGGGGGCAACTCAATGTGTTGGAGATTCTTCAGAAGTCTTGGACGTTTGTGATACGTGACGCCTGTGCGGGACCTGCTAAGGAGCCACCACGAAAGCAGCGTCGGCGCACGAAGTCTGATGAAGATCGAGAATTCGACCAGTGGTTTGACCAGCGGAGGCACGAAGGGCTGACGGAGGGCACAGAGGGCGAACAGAAAAAGATCGGCCAAAATAAAGGACGGACGTTGTCAAAAGCTGGACTTCAACTGGGATACCAAAATATGGTGAGAATGAGCTTTGGATGAGGTCAACGTTTGGAACATGTGTTTTCTTCGACAGGTGTAGTAGATGGTAGCCCTACTATGGATGTCCAGAGCCCATCTCAAAAAGAGTTCATTCCCAAATCATTTGCACTTGACACCACATGGTGTTCATTGTTTTTGCCTCAGAGCATCTCCCCCTGGACTCTTGCAGAGGTCGGAATGGGAGGCATTGGTTGCGGAGGTGAAAGAGGGCGACTTGGATGAGTTGAACGCTGGGGCTTGGGGTCGAAACTGCGGAGATGATCCTGCATGGAGGAGCACCATGACGTGCGTGTGAAGGCTAATTCAAGACGGGTTCATGAGAACACAAGCTAGACATTTGGTTGGTGGAAGGGAAGAAGATCTACAGTGCTTGTTTCATCTTTTTCCAATGTCCTGACGATTGTCCTGACGATCATCGTCGATCCAAGCTGTATCCAAAGTGTCAGGTATCAAATGAAGCCCATTCAACAGCATGTTCGTTGAAGGTGTGGCGGGGTGGCAGCTTTGAAGGACCCAAACTCCTACAGCCTACTGCAGCCCATGTATATAGTACACTAACAGCACCACCCAAAGGGTGCTGTATAGACCCCTCACGATATTCGTTCCATCCAGCAACTATCCTTTGGGTGGTGTTGGCAAAAACATCTCCTTTTGGGTAGATTTCTAGAACCCATCGGGTGTCTTATCCTTATTTTTGGGGGGAACTGGGACTCTCAGAAAGTCCCAAGGCTAAGGCCTTGTTTGGGTGTTGTTTTTTTCATTCCGTTGGGCCGGTGCTTCCAAGGTTCGACACGACTCTTCAAAAGTGACGACAAGGCGCGGTGAGAGTTGACGGATTTGCACTTATTTTGTCCGTCATGGGGAAGGTGGAGGTCAGTTTTGCCAAGGGCTGTGCCAGGAGTTGTATGCTTTAAGATCTATTTTCACCAAAAAGTCGGCCATTAGTACAACATAATAAGCATAATAGTGTCATAATTATTGCAATATATATATAATATATGTAAATATATATATACAGTTATGTTGCAATTTATATGCAAAATTGGCAGTTCATCGTTTCTGAGCCGCCATGGGTGCCCGAGAACCAACCTTTTGGCACACCCTTGAATGATGCTTTAAAGTGGTCCTGAAAGAGGCGGCCGATGTCCAATTAGGTGGCTGGCTTTGACTTCAGGGAGCTGAAGTCTGTAACGAGCCCACGACAAGTGTTTGCCGTTCAACCCGGAGCCAGGCTTTCAACAGTGATGTTCAAGACCTCGACTGATATCGATTCCAAATCGAAGCATTCATTCATATTCATTATGACAGCACATATTAGGCTATTCTCCTCTTCTCTAGTCTACTTCTCCTATAGTGGCGCAAGCCATGGAAGCTTTGCGGAAGATGTTTTTCATACGCAAGGGTGCGATATATGTACAATGACAAGCAATGAACATTGACAAGGACTATGCTAGCTGCTAGACACTCAATGTACATGAAGCGGATGAGTCTAAGCCCGTGAAGAAACCTGCTAGGTTTCCTGTATATATGCTAGTCAACATTAGATTTTCCATGACTTTCCTATTACTATTACTAAAAGGATCTAAAAGGTTGTAAACAAAGCAAAGTAGTCATAGCATCCAAAGCAGTCGCGTGCGGAAGCTATACCTTTTACTCAGCGGAAGGAATTGTCCAAGCAGCAACTGCTTTCTGTCGCGCGAGCCTGGCGATACGTTAATGGCAATAAGATGCAATAAGAAAGCATTTGAAATTTGATAGGAATGAACTCCTATACCTGCTTATAAATCATGTCACATGTTTTTGCACCACTTCTTGTCTGCCAGGCACACGAGGATTTGTGAAGGCCCGAAACCAGAGCAAAAAGGATGATGTGCCGCACCATGCCGCACCTATCAGCTTCGTTTCGGAAAACCTTCTTTCTGTCGGACAATGTCATACAACAGTCGCCACTAGGCCGATGGGACTAACCTCAAAGTGCGGTTGTGAGAGGAGGACAGAAACCAAGCGCATATGTATTTATCATATTTATATACTGTAAATGAAATATCAATATCACCATCAAATGATCATATTATTTACAGTTAACCCTGTTTCAGGTCCGTTCTGGTTGGAAGATCCAATGTTTCTTGCAAGGTTTGGCGGGTTTGGTGGACTACTTGTGACTTGAATTCTGGCGCACAACATAACATTTATATCCCAGGGAGTTCCCAGGCGTTATTCTGGCTTGCTCCACTCAGAGCAATCTTCCAACGGTCTTAGTGACTAGAAACTCCTGTGGATGTTTGTATTGCTTGAAACTCAGTGGGACCGGATGCGGAGCACCAACGTCTCTGATTTCGGATCGATTCGAACGGTTCGTTCATCCTCTTGGTTTCGACGTTTGGGAGCTCTTCAACGTTTGATGGCCTCATGAGGTGCGGGGTTGTTGGAGGCATTCAATATCATCCTGTAAAATCCAGTCCCAACCAGAAACAGTTCGAGATGTTTCCCCAGTCCTAGCCACTTCCGAAATGTAAAGGATCTCAAGGTGCCGTATTGGGGTCCAAGTTCCAGTGTTTCGGGTTTCCAGAATTCGATGCCTCAAACCATGAATTCGGGTCCTCCGCGCACGTGTGAGACGTTCCGCCAGCGTTGTGGGCTCCTCCGGCGCGGACCTCCATCCGCGAGTCCCGGTTTCCCGGCGATGAAGCGAAGGTGCGCCCGGCGAAAAGCCGAAAAGCCAATAAAGCCTACGGATATGGGAGCCAAAAGTAGAGGTGCCCAAACAGAGAGGATGATGAGGATGGCACGGTTTCCAATATGTTGAAAGGGAGTGTACTTTTCAATCTACTTGGGGGTATATGTGTAACGGATGGATTGAAGTTGAGGTTGTGACCTCTATAGAGAAGACTTCTTCGCAGAGCTCTAGACGCTGTCTACTTCGGTGTTTCGCAGCAACGTGTCTACTTTGATGTTCACACTGCTTGAGTTTTGAATGTACAGACCTAGGCTGTGGAATCAGATTGGACAGTCTTTTAGATTGGACAGTCGTTTGTGGAGAAACATGTGCGAGTATCTTAATTTTAAAGTGAGAGGCCCCAGTTCGATCCTCAGGAAGCCTGAGAGAAGAAACCAACGACCCCGGCCTCGCGACACGCAGGACGGTTTGTGGATCACCTGCAGGTCACCCGTTTTGCACCCGAAAACACCCCACAATACAAGAATTGGACAGTTCAGTTCAGTTCAGCTCGAGAGTTTTTCTTCTCCAGGTCTCATGGCCTTCCCTTGCTGGCGGCACTTGCACTCACTGCCGCTGCCTGCGCCTTCGTGGGTGGTGGTGGCGGCACCCTCAGGAAACCTGTTTGTTTTGTCACGGATATATACCTGTCAGGGATTCTGATGTCGCTCAGAAAACGACATCTTCCTTACAGACAGGTCAGATATTTTACTGGAGTGGATCAGTGCGTCATACAAGAAAACACTATACTCTGACTTTTAAATACTCTTACTGAGGTTGACAGGGACCAGGTTTTGCTAGGTCAAACGGAACCTGTAGGGCCTTCCTTCTTCTCCAGAAAGGAACCTCTTTGAGCGATTTCATCCTCTCTTCACAACGCCTCGAGAGCCCTGAGTTCAATCACAACGCCCCAGACTTCGAACGCTGCGTTCCGGGGGCCCGGCTTGGACGGACGGAGCGACGGAGGGTGAGGCGAGCATGACTGGGGGTCCTTCGTCAAGAAAGTCGTCCGGACTCAATGACAACCAATGTCTTCGCAGCTTGGGCAGACGGTCCTTTTTGGGTGGGGATCGTTGTGTCCTAGCCTTTACGGAAATCAAGGTCCTTTTCATGTCTCACTTGATGGTTTCTTGTTCGCGAGTTCCCTTCGTTTGCGTCACAGAAGTCGGTCGGGGGCGATGTTTCAGAAGAAATGTTTCAGAAGTTGTTGTTGTAGGGTGAAAGTGGAGATGTTTTTTCGGGGGTCAGACAGTGCAGGTAGGGTCGAAGGCATAACCAACAGGTTGGCCTTTTACAACCTTGGTTGGTTGATACATAGAGGGGCATACCATGGGCATACCCTCAAGTGTACATGAATAGAGGAGCATAGCCTCAAGTGTACAACCAATAGGATCCAATGAAGGTCAATAGGTATAGTACTTGGCACCGACCCCTGCAATTCATCTCGACCTCATCGGCAGATGGGAGATGTATCTGAGGCAGAGCCGAAGAGGAGGAGGATGACCGGCTGGCGGCCTTTTGGATCGAGGACCCTCAACGATCGGTCGAGAAAATGCAAGGAAGCCAACGGAGCGACGGACGGAAACAGATATGATATAACCTATACCACGTAGGTGTTACATGAGGTGTTTTTTGCCAATTTTGTTATATTGTGTTTGTTTGCTTGCTTGCTTGCTTGCTTGCTTGCTTGCTTGTTTGTTTGTGTGTGTGTTTTGTTTTCTGAGCAAGCGCGACCTTCCAAAAGAAGAAAAAACGGACGATATGTTGGAATGGACCTGCTAGGAGAAACAGTCTGATAACAGACTGATCAGGAGATAGGTGCGTCCATGATCGTTTTCACCTTGGCGAAGACCCCTTTGCACCAAATCTCCATCATTTGCATCGTCCTTTGCACACATCTGGGCCTTGACCCCGGCCACAGAAGAACCCTTTTCATCCTCCCCGTCCCGGGCTGGCCACGTCACGGGTTTCACCGGTTCCGCCCGGTCCCCAAAGGACGTGTCACCAAAAGGGCGAAAAGTGATAGAGGTGCCAGCGAACGGTCGCCCGGAAATGCGCGTCGTTGAGCGTGAAAGGAAAAGCATTGAAAAAGGAGTATTTATGCCCGGTGAACAAGAGGGTTAATTCGCAGGAAGTACAAGTTAACTTGCAATCCCCAAAACAGTTACGCCGACCGACAATACCTGTAGGTTTATCATTCCATCACTGTTTCAGAGCTGCGTTTTCTTAGCTGCGGAGACTATGAAAAAAGTTTGGGTAATCAAAAAGTGTGCACATCTTTGGAGAGCGCTGCTTTCTCAATACCGGTGAGCTTTTTTGGGAGATGTGTCCATTTGTTGGTTTGTTCTAACCTGATGATTCTTTGCATATACAAGCTACGAGTTTCATGCGAAGGACCTACCATCCCACATCAGAAGGTTAAGAATGTCCCCACATCGACGTCCTTCGCAGAATGATATTTGATTATTTGACGAAATCCTTCTTTTGGCCTGTTCAAGCGGCGCCAGCCGTTCCGTCCGTCCCATCCCGCTGGAAGGCTTTCGGGAATCGTTTTGGTTCTTCATGCGGGTTACCATCTTCATGCGGAGTCATTGATGGTATTTCATGTTTCCTTTGTTTGGTGAGGGGCTTGAGGAGGTTTCTCCAATTTTACCGCGACTAGGCACTAGGCACCCGCGGTATTGGGGCAGGCACCAATTTGGTCTTGAGCACTTGTTGCGCATCTTGTAAGTGGCCAAGTCTTGGGCACGTTACACGCGCAAAGAAGCTGAAGTGTGCCGGTTCATGCCAGGTCTATCAAAAGCTTTCAGCACTGAAAGGAGCTGAACAAAGCCAGATGAAGGAGGTGTGGTTTTTTCCTCGCCATGAGCTGAATCATTGCGGTTTCTATTATTCAAGTTTACAAACTGAATCACCTCTTATTAGGGGTGTATAGTGGATCCAACATGTCCATGTTTATACTTGTACATATCTCTATGGTTGCTGGTGAGAGGGTAACTGGAATTTGACCCCCATAGGTGATGAGCTCCCTTCTAGCCACTCTTTGAAGATGGGCCTCCTCATTAATGCTGATGGCGGAGACATATCACAGACTGTTCCCCAAGTCGTTTCGGAAGGGTTTGAAGGTGGCCACGTTTGGTTGGATGTCCAACGAAAGTTTGAGGCCCGGTTGGCCTCCCCGAAAAAGCACTGAAATCACTACAGAGCCGCAAGTGCGGCAGTGCGGCTTTGCCAAGATCTATGGAAGGTCATCAAAGATCTGTGGCAGGTGATGGATGAGCTGGACTCCGAGCAAAAGGCGATGACGTTTTCCTTTTTTTCGCACCATCCGCGGTGCATGGGACAATGTGGCAAATGAAGAGCTCAGCTTTGGGTCTATGACCACCGATGGTAGTTTGATGATGTTTGATGTAAATATAGTTTGGGGAGTCTTCAATTGACCGTCTTGCCAGGGGTTCCCACCACGCGGAAGGCCTTATCTCCAAAAAGAACGGGTAGGTTGCCATGATGAGTATCAACAAGACAGCGCGCACTACCAGATACTAAGTGAAACCTTGACGCCTAGACCCGGTCCAACAGTCCCTTGCAAAGCTCGTTTGCAGTCATAAGGAACCGTCCGGTTGGATGGCCTTCAGAGTCACGTCTGCCCGGCACCTGACAGCGCCGGCACCGCGCCAGAGGGGATGCTGAACAGCGTGCTGGCCGCGCGGAAAGGCGCGTGCCGGGATCCGCATGTGATAAGACTTGTATGACTTGTATGATTGCGCTCGTGTGATACTGCTCTTATCTTGATGCTCATGTCTTGATGCTCATCTTGATGTTCATGTGATGATAGGCATGTGATGAAGGAATATGAGGAAGGAATCTACCTTTAAGAAAAACCCTTCGCAATCGCTCTCGGGAAAAACATGATGAAAGAGTAAAATGTATTCGAACCAATTCTGAAATCTGCATCAAAGCATGGCATCCATCAAATATCCATCAAATCACCTCCCAAGTCCACCTGGATCCACCTGGGTGGCGCCACGAGATGCACCCGCACCGCGCAGACCTCGATCGCCCCGTCGAGTCGCCGGACCCGGAGAACGGCGACTCCCCCGAGAGGCTGGGGTCTGATGCAGAGGGTTCGGTCGTTTGTGGCGCCTCGGGACCCGCAAGGGGTGCGGAAGGGCTGCCGAAAACGGAGGGATGC